GGCTAACGAAGCACAGGATGAAAATCTTCCCTGGAATGAACCTTATCAAGAAGAAGGCCACATTAAGCCTACTTCACCAAGAGAAATAACAGAGATCAAACAAAATATCAGTCCGAAAAAAGCTCCAGGATATGACCTAATTACTGGGGAAGTAATAAAACAACTCCCCAGGAAAGCTATTGTGAAATTATACAACCTTTTCAATGCGTCCTTTAGGCTTAAATACGTACCTAAACTTTGGAAAGTTGCAGAAGTTATCATGATACCAAAACCCGGAAAACCACCTCATGATATGTCATCTTATAGGCCAATATCATTATTGCCCGTTTTATCTAAGCTTTATGAAAAGATACTGCTAAAAAGAATAAAACCGATCATAGAAAGACAGGAAATCATTCCAACTCATCAATTTGGATTCCGCGACAAGCACTCTACGATCGACCAAGAATAACGAATTTAATAGAAAAATCGCTGGAAGAGGGAAAAGTCTGTTCCGCAGTTTTCCTCGATGTAGCGGAAGCATTTGACAAAGTTTGACATGAAGGCTTAAACTATAAACTAAAGCTGTTTCTGCCAAAACAATATTCTGATATTTTGGAATCATATATGTGTGATAGACATTTCAGAGTCAAACAGGAAGATTTTGAGTCAAATTTACGAAAAATAAAAGCAGGTGTACCTCAGGGTAGCGTGTTAGGTCCCTACTTATATTTATTATTTACATGCGACATCCCAAAACCAGAAAATTGTCATTTAGCAACATTCGCCGACGATACTGGTTTAATTACAGTGGAAAAAAGTATTGAACAATCAACAGAAAAACTGCAGCAGAACGCTGTCAGTGAAGTTCAAAATTGGACCAAAAAATGGCGAATAAAATTGAATGAAACCAAATCAATTCACGTTGATTTTACAAACAAAAACGTAAATCACATACAAATCACAATTAATGACACCCCTATACCATATTCAAATCAAGGTAAATATCTTGGTATGACGCTTGATGCGAAATTGCGCTGGAAAGCACATGTTAAGAAAAAAAGGCAAGAGCTTGAATTTAAGTATAGAAAAATGTACTGGTTAATTGGAAGGACGTCCAATTTAACCATACCTAACAAGTTACTGCTTTATAGACAAAGACTGAAACCAGTATGGGCATATGGCATTCAACATTCAACTTTGGGGTTGTACTAAAGATAGTAACATACAAGTTATTCAAAGATTTGTTGCATCACCCTGTAAGGAAATATCGCCCGATATCGCACTAAGTGGACACCATGTAGAATCAAATATAGGCCATTCTATTTGAAAAGAGTTTAAAGTACGCAAAAATTCAAATTTCTGACAATAGTTTAGCTAAAACTGCTCCTCTTTTGTGTTTACACCTTTTATCATCTACTTATAAAGGTGGGGTGTCAAATTGTAACCAGACACCCTGTACCTTTCAATATTTTGTATGCCCCCCCCCCCCCCTTTATTTGGGTCTGGATCCGCGCTTGTTATCTACCACAGGCTCATCAGGGCAGCTAAGGAGAGATATTATGCAGATAGACTCTCTTCCGCAATGAACAAATCTAAAGAGACTTGGTCAATAATAAGCGAGTTCCGTTCTAGTAGACGTATCCAGACATGTAATACTGAACTCTGAACTGGAGCGCAACACTCTCAATGCATATTATTGTGGGTGGTGTTGCTTCTTCCTTGACTGCTGGCTTGTCATCGGATTCGAATCTTATTTCATACCTAAGCAACGTTGGAATACTCGACTCTTTCTTTTTCGCCCCTACCAGTGTTCAAGGGACAAGTTTTGGCTGAGTTGCGTAATAAAAACTCCTCCGGAGACGACGACTTATCTTCGAGAATATTTCTGGGTCTTCCTGACAGCGCTCTCCTTGCCCTTGCTCTAGCAATTAACGATTCTTTTTCAAGAGGTGTGTTCCCGGATTGTCTTAAACTGGCTATTATAATACCCCTGCATAAGGGAGGTGCTTTGCTGGTTGCCTGTATTTTTAGTTTTTATAAAGACAGTAACTCCATGTATGTGGGGTAAAGAATAGTATGTCCTTTACATACTCTTCTGTTTAATGTTTACCTACCATCAAAATTCTTAGTGGTAAACAGTAGTAACTCCACGAAACGGCGTGCTGCTGATTTTTTTAAAGCATTTTTAGTGTTTTGAAATGAGGAAAGGTGATAAAAGACATCATATGTTGATTAGGTTGAAAAATATTGTTGTAAAACAAAAGGTCAAGATAGTTCCGATGAAGAAGACAGCGAATAAATTTTGCCTTGTACAAATCATAATCTTTTTTGTCTAGGACATCTTCTTGAAAATAATTACATTTTTTTTAAGTATTTTGTATTCATTAATCATGTTATAGCGATAAGCAATAAAACTGGTTTTGAAATATAAAACTCGAAATAAGACTGCTATTTTAATGATTACCTGTTTTTTCAAATTGAGGTAAAAAGTCGTAAAACCAAAATCAAGATACAGGCACAGATCACCTAATACTGATGCGTAAGTACGTATACTTTCGGCAACATGTGTATGGCCGACCAAATGTTAATTTTTCAATATTCGCATTACTCAATCGTTTGGTGGTCGTTTGGTGGTCTTTGGTATCCCACTTTTAGTATTTGGTGGTAATTACTTAGGCAGTAATTAACAATTCAAAATTTCATATGACGTTGGCCGACATAACCTGATTCTAATTTATTTTTTGGCCCATTTATAGTCAAATCGAACGGAAATCGTTTGGTGGTCACGAATTTACCGAATTTAACGTTTGGTAGTCAATAATACCGGAGATATTAATCAATTAAGATTGTTTTCTGATATATTCTAATTATTCGTCGCGCATGCGCATATATTATCTGTTTTTCATTGAGCCGCCTCGATCGCGGCGTTGCCTACCTATTCTATAATTTTCAATCAAATCAATTATTTCATTACAATCAACGAATAATTAGGTAGGTATCTATACTTACTCGAATACTGAAAATAGGTATACATCGTGATTTACTTAGCCCGTGCATTAATAAGAAGTTTTTTAGGTTGCAAGTGGATTACTAGAGATAGCATTTGATCCAACTGCACTCTTATTCACGGGCTACGTGAGGCATTCTCCTGTATAGGAACAAAATGCAAAATTGATATATTCCTTCCTTAGCTTGCAAAAATCTTTAATTGATTTAGAGATTACCCTGATCGGCAGCAAGCAAACTAACCCAAGTCTTTGTGCAAGTTTGGAAAATACGGTTGATAATGTTGATAAGTATTGATGATAATAATTCATGATCAGCCAACCACTCAAGCATACAAACTTCGAAAGTCTAGTCTCTGAGGGGTTTTTTCAATGTTTTTCACAGGAATACAATTAAGACGAATGTATCCACCGTACATAAGAGTTAAATTTATTATAATTATTGTTCAAATAGTTCGATGATTTTCTACGTCGTATTGCAGTTTAATTTGAAAAAGTGTTGTTTCCTTGAATAAAAACGAATGTTTGTATTTTGTATGTGTATTTAATGAATTTACAGAATAAATTGGTAGAGTATAAATAAATAAATAAAGCGTTGGCCGTTGGGTGCTGCACCCAAAAATGAGAAAAATCCTACAATTTTTATTTGCAGTAGGCATTCCTTCTACGAAAAAAAAAATAACATTTTTACAGTTAATGTAAAAAAATAAAAAAAGTTTAATTCTCAAAAAAAAAAATATACATTGTATATTATACCTAATTCTCAAAAAAAAAAAATATATAACATAACATATTTCATTAGATATTTTCTCGGCTAAATGTTTCAAAAAAATTGCTCGATACTTCATTTTGGTTCCAAAAATTTATAGAGTAAAACCATTGACAAATGAAAAAAAAAAAAATAGTTTCTAACAAGCTTGAATTTTTTTTTACAGATAGTTCTCAACCCTACTGACATACCAGGTACATACTAAAAGTCCCAAAGTCTCCTACCTATTCCGGGAACCCTGGAAAATCTTGGCCGCCATGTTGGTTTTTTCAATTGTTTGTAAATAACTCCTTAACGGTGTTTTTTTTTTTATTTTTGAATTTTTATCAATTTTGACCAACTTTTTTTGAAAAATGTGTGATATACTTTTTCGTAGAGAATTAAAAAATACACAGTTTGGTTTTTTAATTGTTCCAATTGAAAAAATAACAAAAAAGTTATGGCGGTAATGAAGCTTATTTGGTCGCAAATTTAAATTTTTCATTCATTGTAAGTGATTTATTGCCTTTATTGGAAATTTGCGATCCAAGTTTTACTTCCATAACTTTTTTGTTATTTATCCTATTGAAGCAATTGAAAAACCAAAATGTGTGTTTTTCAAGTCTCTCAAAAAAGTATCACACATTTTTCAAAAAAAAATCACCGTTAACAATTTATTGACTTTGGGACTTTTAGTATGGGAATAAGGGCATGCCGGAAATAAGGATGGTTCCAACTACTTCAACTAGTCTGTTAAAAATTATTTCCTTTCTTGAGGAAAAATTTGCATACCTATTGGTCCTGCGCTATTAAAGAGAATGTTACATTTAAAGTGCAGTATAATAAGTGCCATATTTTTAAAACTTAAACAAATATTTTTTTCTCAAATTTTGATAAAAACTAACCCCTAGGTATAAAAAAATCTAACATAAACCAATTGAACAGAGAACAAACAGGTAGTAGAACCCGTTTACGCCCAGTTTCAGAATGTGTAGCCACCGAATGATTAAAAGAAGACCAAAGGTTAGTGGATAAAAACTAAAAAGTATTTCACAAATAGTAATTAACTGACCCAGCACAATTTTTTCCGCTGAAAGGCTGAAACGCTATATGCCTTACCATTGATGACTGTAAACGTGAGTGACCAAAAAGGTCACCACATTGTGAAACTGGGCGTAATCGATTTCTAGAAATGTCAATTTTGCAGATATGCATTTTGAATTATGACGGCAGTATTATTACTGTCAACAATATAGATTGCTGCATTAGGCTTTAGGCTCAATAATTCTAGTGGATTTTATGGTTTTGTCAACTTTTGTGTCAGTGTCGTTATAGAACTCAAAACGACCGGATGACCTTCTGCGATTAAAATATGTAAAATGGCCAGCCGCGTGCTGGATAACTCCAGCCAACCTGAAATAATAACATTTTTTTGAAGAGAACATGGAAACAAAATTATATACAAGACGACATCTAATAAGTAGGTATTTGTGTAGGTACCAAGGGCGCAATTATTAGGGTGTTTGCAGCCTGCCGGGTGGAAATTGAAGCACAAGGCGCAACAACGCTAACACCATGTATGCCTGTGTTCAGAATTTTATGTACTACCGCGAGTAATTAAGTATGTTTTTTCTAAATAATGTAATAAAAATTAATCAATACTAAATAGAGAACGCATTCGCCTTCGAAGTCGAATAATACAGAAAAATGGTGGTTATACTTGTGAATTACAAGTAGAAACTGTACCTTGTTACCAACAATAGCAACCAACCAAACATTCAATTTAATCATTTTGGTTCGTCTTGGAAGATGAAAAAACCCAATTTTTACTAGTGTTTGTTCAATTCTTGACACCTACACCAACCAACACCATGGTGGCACTTTGTGGCGCTGCGGGCCGAAAAGTATCAAATTGCGCCCGCAATTTAGAGCGCAATTATAGGTGCTTTACGGCCCGGTTGTACATTAAAATTTAATTTCGCATCTCACCTGTAATTTTTGTTGCCAAATGTCAACTTTGTAGGAATGTCTTTCAATCTAGCCTTTTGTGATGGTGCATTGTACACATCTTTAACGTCTATCTCGATGAGTAAATGGTCATTGGTCTCTGTTGTATGAGTAACAGATCCATCACAACCATTTTTTCTGCAAGGTCGACAAGCTACTGAAGAAAACTGGATGGCGTACTGGAGAGCACTGAAACCTTCCCTGACTACAAGGCCATGGTCATGGACGTATAGTGTCATCAGTGATTGAACTGATTCACCACATTTGTCACAATGAATTTTCCGATGAGCACTTGGTTGTGATTCAAGCAAATGATCCCAAATGTTCGCAATGGAGTCTGTGACGTCCATTGTACGCACAATAACGCGCTTGTTGGCAACTTCGCATTTCAGTTTTTCCTTGTAATAGGGCAGTAAAATTGTAGCACGTTCTTTATAAGTCGATACTTTCGGTCCATTCTGCATAAAGTTTTTCACAAACGAAAGAAACTGCACATTAGATTTTTCAATGAATGATTTGTAATTATCATCGTCGAGTGCAGCTGTATACAATATATGAGCGATTGAGTCAAATCCACACGTATTTTTTACATGAAGCTGGCCACCGAGAATACCACGAACTGCAGGACAAAGATTACCGTTACGTAATAAATAGGATTTCCTAGGATGAGATTTCAGTTGATTCAAATATTTAATTTCTGGGCAAGGATTGAAAAATTTAGTTCTATTGTTATTCTCAGTTATAGTTGTTTTATTTTTTGTTTGTCCTTGAATAGAATTTTGTTTTTCATCAACTATGTTCTTGTTGATATAATCTGTAACTGCTAAATTTTCCTTATTGGCACTAAAACATGAATCCTGTTCATTGATCGGGTCACTACTGGTGTTTAAATAATCGTGCTCATTGCGAATGATAGAAAGCAAATACTTGCATTCTTCATCCACGCCACTACGATCTTGGTGGAAGACAGGCGAAGCTGCTTTTCCACGCCAATTTTCCCGGCTAAATACATCAGAATCATTCCCAAATTTTTCATTGCTCTCAACACTTTTTCCACAATTTACAGGAATTTTTCTATTTACGTCAAATGTTGTTTTTTTAATGAACTTTGGATAATCAGACTTTTTTATTCGAGCTTGAATAATTTTAGATGCCATGAGTCTCGTTCCACCCGTTAAATCTAAAAGATGTTTTGCCACAAATTTGTCTACTCGTAAACCATTCGGATGATCTTTAAAAACTCTGTTTTTCAAGTCGTTAAAGTTCGATTCGGAAGAACTACTTGTTGCATGTCCAACAAAGCTGGGCATTCCCACAGCTGACCACAACGGAAATTCTTTTCCAATTCTATGTAGTTGAGTCACAAATTTAGGTAGATAAAAACCATTTACTTCTCTTCCGGTATTAGTTTCCACTCCGGCTGCAGTGATGATATCGTTAATATATGTCTCGATTGGAGAAATAGAAGTTGTGACTTCCTCAGGATGAGCGACAGGAGCATATTCATATTCAGCAGGTTTTTCCGATTCTCCGAGAATAGTGAGATAACCGTTGATGTCGACTTTTCGTAGGCTAAGGTAATCTTGCAATTTTATTCGAGCATCCTTAGCAGTATTCGCAAATTTATTCACTGCTGTATCTTCATAATTTTGGAGTGCAACGACACACGTTAGTCCGAATATTTCACGAAAGTCTGCAAGATCTTGGCAGTCGACTAGTAGTGCGATGCATCGAATAAAGAAGTCTCGTATAAGGCGTGAATGATGAGTTTTGAGGCAGTCCCATCTACAGGCCATGTGAATTAAATGGGCTACATCGACTCGAATATATGTCGATGCATAGTCTCCGGCTACACCACCATTTTTGGTGATTGAGTAAAAAGCATTATCAACATATTTTTTAATAGAAATACCATTGAAGGCGTTGGAGCAGCCGATGAGGAGAGCTCGTTCATAATCTTGTGTTATTACATTTGGCTGACGACGGACTTGTCGCAACCATCGTTTCAATCCATACTCAATGGTCTCATTCTCATGGGATTCAGTGAGTATTTGATAAACCGATGAAAATTTTTCATTGAAATTGATGACGATACAGTACAAAAAAAGGTGTGCAGATTTTAGCCCATGTTGCCGCTTTAATTTACGAACCATGCTCCCACTAGCATCTATACTAACACTTGCTGAACCTTTCATATGATTAAGATATTGTAGATAGATTGTCCTTTGTTCAGGTGTTCCATAAAACACAAAAAAAGGGTTGTACCCAATATCTTGGATTGAACCAAGGAAACTTGGTTCAAATTGCATGTTGTAAATAGCCAGGATTGGATCAGAATTATGCTTTTTCGGAATTCCCAACTCTTCGTCTTGAAATTCTTGTTTGGCATGGTGTAGTACATCTAGGCTTGGAATCATTGGACCTTCTGCATCACCTCGTTTCAAGTATTTCCGGGCCATAGATTTCTGTACATTGTGACATCCCTCTGCAGCACAAACCTTGCCAAGTTCTTTCCGGTAAGCACCATTAACAACACGTTTCACTTCCTTGTGATCCTCAAATGACGTATCACGAGTCCTGACAGTGAGCAGAAACTCCCCATGATCACATGGCTCTTGATCGGCATAACCAAAAAAATAATTATTGCAGTCATTATCGCGACATCGACCCGTAATCTTGAGGAAATGTTTTCTGCTCGTAGATGTATTTATTTCAGCCCTCTCGAAGACGTAAGCACAAGGCAAACGGTGTTGCTTGAAAAATTCCAGCGCAATGATGTTACTCCAGACATGAGGTTTCAAAGTGTGCGTCGTTCTTTTCTTTGTTGAATCATTTTCCAGTGGTTTCATGCGTTGCCACTGTTCTTGACTCAAATACAATTCAAAAAGGCTTTCGTTGGCTCTAACTTCAGGTTCTATAGAACACACTGATCCATTATCTGAATCCTGCTCGTCTTCGTACAATCTCTCGGAATTATTTAAAGGAACAGATTCTTCGTTTAATCTGATTCCTAATCGTTCTCGAGCTTCAGTAAAAATGTTTCTCCGATTTTCCCTTATATTTATATACCAGTGATTGAATCGCCACGCATTCCCGTATTCTTTACTCATATTTTTCCACACATCAGATGTGTAGGCAGGTAGATCACTTTTATAATTTTGAGATATGAGAGCAAGATCAAGATGTGACTTGTATCGAATAATTGTTTCAATGGCCTGTTCTTTAGTTACTGCACATTTGGGACCCATGTTAAACAAAAGAGTTTTATCCTGGAAATCTCGATAGTATCTACGTCAAAAGCCAGAGTACCTATCAATAATGTGACGTTGCGTGTTTTCACATTTTCAAAATAAATTCCCTTGAGTGTCACTCTCGATGATAGTGTTTCGTCATTACAGCAGCCTGAAAAAATTAATGAGGATTGAAATGCGTCATCTAAATACAGAGTAATGTACATCCACAGAACCATCTAGCTGTATAAATGAATGAATGAATAGTGGGGACACGGCCAATGTATACCGGGTGTCAACGAATTTATTGGACAAGCCATGACTTCTAGGGTGTCAGTTCTGTCAAAATGAAATTTGGTGTAGGTGAATGTTATATTAGGAGGAGAGTTTTTGGATATTTTTCACTCTCCTGTCACTTCCGGTTTCACCGAAAATTACTCTTTTTTTGAATTTTTAAATGGAACACCCTGTATATTTTCACACTTTTGGATTCCTGAGACAATTCTGGAGGAGAATGAGATAATTTGGAGGTTTTCACGCCTGCTCTATTTTTTTAGTGTTTCGGTGATATTTAATTTATGAGCTTAGTTTTAATCCAATCGCAAATTAATTGGTTTCGTTAGATTCGCCAAAAAATCCTCTCCTCGAAAAGTGCTTGTCAAAAAAGGTCGCCATTTGAAAAAAAATAGTTAACCATGAAAATGTGATTTCACACCTGAGATCCTTTGATTAGATTGCATCCGATCATGACCACCTAGATCCAATATTAAAAGTGGCTCTGAAAAAATCAAGAAGGCGTGAAAACTTTTCAAATTATCTTATTCTGCTCCTGAATTGTCTCAGAAATCCAAAAATGTGAAAATATACAGGGTGTTCCATTCAAAAATTCAATTCGCAATATATTTTTATTACTTCTTCAGTTGCAACTAAAATATATTATATAAAATGTTTGTTCCAACGCGTCAAAAGTTCTCTGTAGTCTTCGTTTTTCCGATTCAGAATATGTATTAATATGGTAATGATTTTTTCAATAGTTTTGGAAATATCTGGAGTTTAGTTATTCAGGGCCGGTTTCTCAATACAAAGTCAACTCTGGGTTAAGCATAAATTCGGGGTAAACATTGCAACTGTACACGTTTACCCTGGAGTTAAAACCAACCAGGAGGCGACTCGCTATTGGGAAACCAGCCCTCAAAGAGCTATTATTCAGAATCAGTTTTTTGACTATATTTCACCTTGATTTACCTGTCGCACAACATTCTGAAACCTGAATAACGTAAATAGGTCTTTGAATAACTAAACTCCAGATATTTCCAAAACTATTGAAAAAAACAATAACATATTATACATATTCTGAATCGGAAAAACGAGAACTTTGAGAATTTGAAAAAAAATAATCGACAATCCAATTTCAAAAAAGTGAACATCGACATATTTTTCTACTTCCCGTTTCTCATTTCTTCAATCTAATTGAAAATTCTGGCGGTTCAGATAAACTACAACTTTTGTATTCACACCTTTTTCCTATCACCTGTAATTACGGCTGCAGGTGGGTGACTCATTCTGTACATTGATATAAGTAATTTGTGTTTTTATGGTCCAAAAATCCTCACAGAATCATGAAACTTATTGAGAAATTGATAAAAACTCCGGCTGTTCTATCACTCCTAACAACTGTGTATTATAATTTTTATTTTGAACATCATCCTGTACCCTTTCATTCACTTTTACCTTTTTTCTAAACAGTTTTTATCGGTTCTGGGTCCAAATAGCGCCGGTCATAGCCGCCCGTGTCATAATAGCGCTGGGTCGAGATAGCGCCAGGTCAAAATAGCGCTGGTCGAAATAGCGCCAGGTTCGAGGCCAGGTTATAATAGCGCCAGGTCAAAATGGCGTCTGGTCATGATAACGCATAATAACTAAACGGGTTATTATCGGTAAGTTCGGTAACTATCGAGTCAATGTTTATGCATACTTACAGTGACTCTATAACCCACAGTGGCGACAATTGCTGTCTTATTTTTGATTGGTTCAAAAATCCCATATATTTATATTGAAACCGCCGCCATCTTGTTCCCAACCCCTTGTTACTTTTAAATATGAATATATGGGATTTAGGTGAACATCCATCAAAATCATGGAAAACAACGTATTTGATGGACCTAATAATGGTCATCAAATACGTCGATTCCAATTTTTTATGATAGATGTCCATTTAAATCCTTTATATTAATATTTAAAAGTAACAAGAGGTTGGGAACAAGATGGCGGCGGGACCTCTATTGTCGCCACTGTATGTAAAGGTTTATTTAGCCACTGTATGCATACTAGACTTATACTATATCCATGGAACCAAAAAAGCGGGCCAAAACACTTTCCGTGCGTGATCGAAGCATGATCGGCACGTGGCTTTGCATCTATTGGGCTAAAATAAACAAACCCCTCACGCTGGCCAATCGGATTTACCTGCAATCTGTAGGGGACTTCCAAGGTAGGGGAACTTATTGCTTTTGGCCTAATCGTTACAGGGTCGGAATGGTCATTTACGTACATAATAGAGTAGTATTACGTCTTCCCCCTTATCACTGCGAGCTCAACCCAATAGAGCTTATTTGGGCGGACATAAAAAACTATGTTGCAAACAAAAATGTTACTTTTAAATTTTGCGATCTTAAAAATATTTTCAGTGAAGCTGTTTTGTCTATCACTGCTGAAAAATGGAATAATTGCGTAGGACATGTAAAAGATAAGGTAGAAGTGAAAATGTTAGAATTAGATCACATAGTTGATGAATTAGTTGATAGAAATCCGATAATAATTAATCCTAATGAATCTTCTAGCAGTTCTTCGGATTCTGAGTAACTGGACTAAAATGACAAAAGTATTTATTATTTTATCATTATTTTTTATTATTTTTGCGCTAGTATTAAATAAACATAATTTTGAAATCGAAAACTGTTAACCCGTTTGTCAATTGTCCTCCTAAAATAGAAATGTCCCCATTTTTTTGTACTTCATTAAATGTTATATGTATATACAAAATGGTTTTTGTTTTTCTTTATTAGTTAACCTTTGAGTAATTTTTCCATACCTAGTCGCATATTAGGTATTTAATAAAATTTGATAAAATTTCGATGGTCCCTAAGTGCGAGTGCGACTCTGTACAAACACATCTGCCCAGGCCTCGCCTGAGGGATCACGTGCACTATGCATGACAATGTTTTGGTGCACTCCGTAGCTTCGTTGGATTTAGTTTAGAGCGCTCTTTTGTTACAGCGCCCTTTTGTTACCGTGCTCTTTTGTGCAGCGCTCTTTAGTTTTGGCGCTCCTTAAATACAGACTGGTTATTTTAGGGAAGCTATTTTGACCACATTTTCATCAATTTCTTAAGTCAAAAAGTTGCAAAATTCTGTCCATTTTTGGACCGGCCATATTAAGTTTTTCACGAATGTATTAGGTAGGTAATTGGATTGTTAAATATTTTAGTTGTTTTCGAAGAAGCAATAAATATGATGTATTGTGAAAGCTTTTTCAGGAAAAATAATTTTCTGAGTATAAACATTGGCGGTATTCCCACCATTTAAGTAATCATTTATCGTCCCACTGCTAATCTCATAAAAACCTAATACAATTTCAACCTAAAAGTCACATTTCCACACACATATTTTGCTATACCATCTATCATCAGTCGTATCAGTTTTTTTCGAAATTAGCAGTACCTACAAAATACTTCTGTGAAGGTAAATCAATAAGCATTAGGTACTCACTTTGCTCCATGCAAATCTCACAATGAACACTACGACTGTACGACTACGTACTTTCAACTTCCAAAATCACTCATCACTTGCGTATGCCGCAAATTCCATTAGAGTTCAGGGGAATCACCGAAACACAAAAACGGCCCCAGCAGTAGCAGTAAAAAACAATCTTACTTGCAATTTGCAATTTGCACGCCTGGCAACATTGGTCGCATTCAGCGAACCTAGCGCTGCTACCTAGCGGCGCATTCATCCGACGTTCTAACGCGAACTATAGTAAATGGGTTCGGCTTCCTCACTCCGTGCACTCCGAGTGTCTCCATTCGTACTCCAGCCGTTATCTTATACGCCAAAAAGCGATACCCGAGGCTGGAGTGCGAATGGAGACAATCAGAGTGCACGGAGTGAGCAAACCGAAGCCAGCTAGTATAGAAAATAGTAACGGTAACGACAATAGCGGCCTACCCGCCATGTTTTGTCAAAGGCCTATTTAAAACTTGCATTTAAAAACCGACCATTGTCATAACTATCTTCTATACAGTATACATACAGTAACTATAACGTCTATAACAGTCATTAAGTTCGCAGGTTTATGACAAAATAAAACTCCAGTTAATTTCATTTTTGCTATTGTGGCGACCACTGACCACGACAACGACAATCCAGTAATCTAGTATCCAGTACAAGCAGAGTCCGCGACTCGCGACTCGCGAGTTGACACGCTACCGGCCCACCCAGTTCCGGATCGCAACGGCAACGCCGCGATCGAGGCGGCTCAATGAAAAACAGATAATATATGCGCATGCGCGACGATTAATTAAAATATATCAGAAAACAATCTTAATTGATTAATTACTCCGGTATTATTGACTAACAAACGCTAAATTCGGTAAATTCGTGACCACCAAACGATTTCCGTTCGATTTGACTATAAATGGGCCAAAAAATAAATTAGAATCAGGTTATGTCGGCCAACGTCATATGAAATTTTTAATTGTTAATTACTGCCTAAGTAATTACCACCAAATATTAAAAGTGGGATACCAAAGACCACCAAACGACCACCAAACGATTGAGTATGGCGAATATTGAAAAATTAACATTTGGTCGGCCAAATACATGTTGCCGCTGTCGACGATATTCTGTGACGAAGCCGGGCCGCCAGCGGCCCCACGCATAGATAAACTTCGCCCGCGTCAGGACAATTAACGTGGCCGAGTGCGTGAGCATGTTCCAGCCTGTGTGTTTACATATTTTTGC